ACCGCTCCCCCTGCCCTCCCTCCTGCTCTGATGAGTGCGTTCTCCATATTCTGAGTAAGGCCAATCCCTCCGTGTGTGCCTGTCCTTCCTTGAGTGCTCAAGGACACTGTCGAGTTATCGTCATCTCATTCTATTGCATCGTACGTTTTGCCTTCTCTGCTGTCACTCCTACAGAATCTCATCTTGACCCCTAAGCCTCTCCAGATACTAGTCCATTTTTCTTCTCCCTTTAGCAGCAAAACCTCATGAAAGAGCTACGTATGCTCTGATTCTAACTCTTCTCCCTCCTTTCTCAAATCCAGGCCAGTCAGGCATCTGTCACCACCAATCCATGGCAACAACTCTTGTCGAGTTCATCGATGACTTTTAATTTTCAGTCCTTACACATTTTGACCTAACGATTGTGTCTGGCACAGTTGATTATGTCCTTCTCCCTGGAAACTCACGCCACCTGGCTTCTGTAGACCACCCCCTCCTGGTTTCCCTCCTCTACCTCTCTGGTCACTCTTTCTCAGGTTCTTTGCTGGTCTCCCTTGTTTCCCAGAGCCGTGCCTGCCGCTGGACTCAAAGACTCAATCTGTGACCTTCTCTTCTCTACTCACTTTCCTGGTGCCTCCATTGGTCTTGTGGGTTTATCATCGATGTCCTGACAATTCTCAAATGTCTATCCTAGCCAAGACCTCTCCCTGAACTCTTGCATTCTTTCCAACTGCCAATTTTATGTTTTCACTTGGACACCCAATAAGCATCTAAATACGTCCAAACTCAATTCCTGATTCCTCCTACCTCCTGCAGTTTCCCACACCTCAATAAATAGCATCATCATCCCTTCGGTGGCTTGGGCCAAAACCTTTGGAATCATTCCTGGCTTTTTTCCTTCTCGTGTACCCCACTCCAATCCTTCGATCCGTTGGCTTTACCATCGGAGTGCACAGAGGATGTAGCTACTTCTTTCTACTTCTGCTGCCAGCACCCTGGTCCAAGCTGCCTCCATCTTTCATGTGAATTGTGTAATAGCCTCCTGACTGGTTTCTGCTTAATCCCCTGCCTCCAACAGTCTGTTCTCTATGTAGCACTTAAGCGATTCTTTACAAATTTATGTCAGTCCAGGATGCTCCTCTTTTCAAATCCTCCAGTAGCCCCCCCATTTCACAAAAGCCAACAAGGCTTTCCTTGCTCAGGGTCTGGGTGACTTCTCAGACCTCGTTTCCTGCCACTTTCCCTGGTCATGTGCATCTAGCTGCACCAGCCTCCCGTGACTGTGACAGGGACTTTGCACTTGCTGCTCCTTGCCTAGAACACTCTTCCCCCAAGCGTCTGCACGGCCTGCTCCCATAGTTCTTCGCTCTAGTATCACCTAATCACCACGCCTTTCCTGACCAGCTTTTATAAAGCAGCAATCCCTCCCCACGCTCCCTCCTGGCCCTCTCTGTCTCCTACTCTGCTGTATAGTTTTTCCCCGTAGCACATTATACTTGTTGGCTTTTTCTCGCAGCACGTAAGCTCCACGAGGGCCAGGACCTTGATCTGTGCGTCCCTCTGCCTCTGGCAGCTGCACTGGTGCTCTAGGGGTTCGATCCTTTCAGCATTTCAGTGGGGAAACTGGAAGATAGGAGTGACCATGTGGATGATGCTCAGTATGTAGCCGACTGTCTAGAATCGTGTCCTTCGTCTTGGTCTCTGCGCTCCCTGTTTTATTTGTCTCCGTGATAGTGCAGATTAGCAATTGCCATACTGTAAATTTACCCCTTGTTTATGATCTGCTTCTGCATCAGAATATCAGCTCCATGGGGGGGATGGTGGTGGTGCTTTGTGTTTTTCCTTCTTTATCTCCTGCATCTAAAACAGCTTAGCACACAGTAGGTGCACAACAAAAGTTTGTTGAGTGAATGAAGGTTAAGTGGGCCAGAGGGGACTGAAGACTGGCTGATTCCTGAGGGTGTTATCAGAGCTTTTCGAATGCCAGTGTGCACCATAATCCTGGAGAGTTTGTTAACTGTGCCAAGACTTGCTGATCTGAACTGTTGACAGACTGTTATCTAGCAGAGGGACCCTCATAATACAGGTTTCCACATCACTTTGATTGACGGGGAGGCCATGCGTGAGCCCAGAGGAAATGCCGGTGCGGGCTCCCGAGTCCCACCTCTCCTTCCAGCGACTCTCCCTGATGCACCCAGGCATGTCCCTTCCTTTCCCCCCTGTCTTTCTGTTCCCCGCTCCCTAAGGCTTCCTCTTTATTTCCTTTGGTTCAAGGTTGTATTCTTACTTCTTGTTTCACAAATTCTTGTGTCAGTTCATGGCAGGCAGCAGGTTTTGCCTTGTTTTCCCAGAGCTTCTGCAAAATTCTGAGCACAAAGGCTAAGGGAGAAGTTGAGATCTGTTGAGTACCGGGGTCTGGATCCTTCCAGAACAAAGGGCTCCTTTTACGCTAGGCTGAGCTGTTTGTGAGGCATCTCTGCCTCATCCCCTGTCATTCGGGGATCACCATGGCCTGGCGAGGTGGGCAGCCGCGGCCACAGCCGCTCTAGTTGTTTTTCAAACAAAGAAGCCAGGCTTTAGGGGGAACAGCACTTCTTGTTGCTGACATGTGTCATAGCCGGGCCTCTGGGAGTTCGAGGCTGGACGATGGAAAGCGACTTCCGGTGGGCCTGGGTCCCAGTATCATGGGCTCACAGGCCGGGATGATCAGACCCCTCTCCTGTGATTCTGTAGTGGGCAGTTAGGGAAATCAAGCCTGGCTCCCCATCTGAGAAAAGAAGGTAATGATTTTGGCCTTTGTTTATGTTTTTCCGTTGGTTTGCTTTTAAACTTCATATTCTGCAGCCCCAAACCTCGGGCCCAATCCAGGGCTCCTGAGCCAGCCTTCGGGGGGTCAGTTACCCGAATTTCACTTTCCTGTTCTACAAAATGGTCTGACAATGGCGGCCTTACTTAGATCAGTCCCAGGGGGTTGGGGGGGGGGTGGTTGTTATAGGATTCAGAATCATAATTTTGAAGATGATGTCAACCATAAAGGTTATATAAAAATAAATTCTTAACTCAGTTTTTGGTCTTTGCAATATCCCTGTGAGGAAGGTCCTCAAACTTGACTGCATGTTCCACTCACCTGGGAGGCTTTGGACAATGCTGGTGCCCAGGTCCCGCCTCCAGAGCTGGTGATTCGATTGGTCTGGGTGTGGCCTGGGCACTGGCATTTCCAGAGCTCCCAGGTGTGGCCAAGTTACACAGTAGAAACTTGGTAAATAGAAGCAGCAGCTGCTGTTGGGGACGCTGAGGTCACAGCTTGTTCATGGTAAAGCCAAGGCCATAGCTAGGTTCTAACTCCCAGGTGGTCTCTTAAGAATCTGGATAAGAATGATCATAATGAACATCAACAGTCTTTTGTTTATACTCTGCGTCAGAGAATGCAAGGTTTTGATTTAAAATGGTAAATCAAGTGATTCAGATGTCTTCCCTCAGGGCTTAAAGAAGACGTGTGTGACCATGGACCAGGAACGCCCACGTTCTGATCTCAGCATAAACAGCAGAAACGACCTCCGCAAGCTTTTGCACCTTGAATTTCTCTACAAGGAAAATAAGGTATGTGCTTTTAAGGTGTGGCGTGATGTTCTGGAACTGAGTTTGGCAATGTCAAAGCACTCATGGGCCCTGCCAAGCCATCAGAGACGGGGCAGGAGGCGGTCACGGAGAAACAGATCCAGCCCAGTGCCGAGAAATCCCAAGTGTGAGCTGAGTTCTTGTCTCAGCCAGGCCATATCGTGCGCGGCCTGTGTGGTTCGTTTTGAACCTGAACCTGTGAACAGTTATTCCCTCTGCTCCCTCCTCCCCCATGAGGCTATTTTTAGTCAGACTGTACTTAAGAATATACTATTTATTCAGTTGTACTAAAATTTTCCATTCCCTGCCTGCGTAAGAGTTTCCTTCTTCAGTTCTGAGTAATACCTTATTCGTAAGTCTCCTGTGACGTTTAATTCAGGCAGAAGCGAGGCTTGGATTCTGCTCGCCCAGGTTGAGTTGAGGATGGGTGGGGTAGGTGGGGCTTCCGTGATCCCCCAGCCTCAATTACCTCACCCCCTGTTCCAAGCTTTCATGTCACCCTTTAGTTTTCCTTCCTGGTACTTGGCACACTTATAATAGAGTATTTGTGTACTTGTCGCGCGTATAGAGTATTTGCGTGGTTGTTTAATACGCATCTGCCTTCCCTACCACCTTGAACGCAGTAGGCGGCCAGAGATGCTGTCTCTTTTGTGTATTCTTATATTCCCATACTTAACAGGTTGCCTGATGACGTAGTGAATAGTCAGCACTTATTTGTGGGTTATATGACTGACCGATTGAATCAATGAATATTTGGATGAATGAAACTGCCATCTGACTTAATTGCTCTTTCTGTTATGAAGACGGAATCTTCTAATTTAAGAATGGGATCTCCAGCAGATGTTGCCTTGTGGTAGGGCGTAGTATCAGAGTTGGAAAGAACCTAATGATCATGTAGTTTACCATTTATTGTAATTTTTTTAAAAAGGCAATAAAATGATATTTCCTGCAGAATTCCAATACGTGAAACAAAGAAAGGGAGCAGCCCTGTTTCTGGTGGGGATGAAGAGATCCTGCCCTCTTGACCTCTGGCACAGCCCCTCAGGGCTGAGCTGAGCAGCTTTTAAAGAACTGATAGAATAGGGACCCCACTGGGGGTGCTGTGAGCCAGAGGAAAGGGGCTTGTCGAGGCCTCACAGTCAGTTACGGGGTAGGGGTGAGGCTACAACTAGATCTACTTCCCCATCCTATTTTAGGAATAGCAATCAGGCTTCCTTTCATGGCAACCCTCTTTTCAAATGAAATCCTAGCAGATTGGCTTGATTTGGGGATGGGACGCCTCCTAGCCCTCCCAAGTTGTTTCTGAGACACCTGGAAGAACCTCAGAACAGCTCAAAAACCATCCTGGTGCATATGGGAGCTCCAGGGAGGAGCTTAGGCCAGGCTCCCCACTCAGTAAAGTGAAGGGTGGAATTTCAGGCAAACCTATAAAGCTCAGCCAACTGGTATCACCCCACAGGAACATTCAGGGTGCCAGAAGTTCTGGGGCTCCGCTTGGAAGAGAAAGGGCAATGACACCAGGTGAAGTCCTATCAGAGGCTCAGTAAAGGCATCAACTAGATGCCCTTTGTCCTCTGAGTCCCGGGGTGACCCTCAGGCCCCTCCATCTTCTGGATGCACTCAGCTGAGATCTTGTAGGAAGAAGCACGTTGACCCAGGTAGCAGATACCCATTTGCAGCATTTTAAGGCAGGAGAATGCACTGTCCGTTCTAGAAATATTTTTTCTAGAGAGCGAGACAGTGAACCAGAAGATTCAATGAACCACCATGGTACAGCGGAATTTTTATGTAAATGCATCTTTACCTAATTCCCTAGAAGTATCTTTGCCATTCAAGTTCTTTTTATTTCTTCACTATAATATAGTCTCCCTAAGGTAACTATTATCTTAAAATACTTAAGATGTTTTCATTAGATCTTGATAAGTACCTTGATTATTTGATTTATGTAGTAGTTCTTAGCTGTTATACAATGAACTGGAGTTTATATTTTACAGAAAAAAAATACTTATTAATCTACCTATTGCATAATGACTTTGACATTCAGACAAAGCTAGTGTGATTCTAGGGAAGCCCTGCAATTTTATGTTAAT